TCCCTGCCCGGCTCCCTCCCCGCTCCCTGCTACCTGCCCGGCCCTCTCCTTGCTCCTTGCCCGGCTCCCTCCCTGCTCCTTTCCCCACTCCCGCAGGACGGGCCGGGCCGCGGGGAGCTGGGCTGCCTGCCCGCTGCTCCGCTGCCGGAGAGCTGGAGCTGCCGTCGGGAGCTGCCCATACTCTGCTGTTGCTGTTCTGTGACGTGCACGGCGCCAGGTCTGAAAAGGCAGGTGCAGCAGTGCAGCTGACTCGAGGCAGCACCGTGGGGGAGCGTGGCAAGAGGTCACGCTTTCCGTGTCATCCGAGCGTTCATAAAGAGATGTTTAAAAGCAATATTTAGCGTCACTTGTCATTGTGGCTGCCTGCATCTACCACTGACACATTATATAGAGAGTGAGGTAGGAGGCGACTTCATGTGTTGCAGGCCGTGCTCTCAATCGCCCAGAGAAAGAGAAGTCAAGGTGATAACGGTTCCTTCACATCATGTTACTGTGGAGATGTGGTCCCATTGCATTATTTCCATAGCAGTCACTTAGCACACAGGACAAACAGCCACACACAGTGTGAATTAGTTTGTGTTTTTATTTCTATTCAGCACATGCTGTTGCACTTTATTTACTGAATGCTCTTTGCAACGTTCCTACTGCTTACACAGTAAGCTCTACCTGAAACTTACACAGTACTCTACCTGAAACTTTCTCGGGGTCATAGTTTACCCAAGTACTGCAAACTGCTTTTTCACTCCTTTTCCTAATAGTTTGTACATATTCCTGGGGGGAGTTGCTATGTAACTGGGTAACGACCTTGATTAAGACATCTGGTAACTCAATTCCTGTATAAGTGCTCTGATCAGAGTATTTCAAGCTTTATCAATCTTTCTACTTTGAGAGCTTTACAACCATATGGTAAAACACTCATTAGAGCACTAACAGCTAAATCAGTCCCTCACTCTGGGGTGAGTACATTTCCTAGGGAATGGAGCTGAGAGCTCCTTGTTTTATATTAGAAAGGTTTGGGCCATGGTTAGGTAAGGTAACATGGCACTTTCTTAGGTGAGATAGTTTTGTTGCTAGAGTTCTGCAGAAAGAAGCCAAACTCTATCCAGGTGATCTTTAAGGTCCCTTTACGTTGGACTCGATGATCCTGATGGGTCCTTTCCAACTCAGCATATTCTATGGTTCAGTGTTTCTTGTGACTACCATTACTTAAACAAAAATGTCCTCAAAATTCTGTTTTAACATTGAAGATGCCCACGTTTTCTAGTTGTTTATACTTCTATACAAGCTTGTAAGTGTCAAAGCTTTACACTGAATACACTCAGAGCTAGGCAAGTAAACTTAGGTAAATCAGTATGGCCAGTTTAGTTTTTATGTTAGGTTCCAATTTCTTGACATAAAGAAAATATTTTAAAACTCTATTTTAACACACCCTACAAAAACTAGTTATTAAAAGCATTTCCATTAAAAAATCAATATTTTAATATTTTTAAGAGTATGAAATAATAATGTAAAATATATGCTCTTTTTTTTTTAATAATTGCACTTAATTTGATTATGCCAAGAAGAAGAGAGATGATAGGGCTTGGAATTCCAGAGTTCAGCCTCCTTATATCTCTAATTCTGGAATTTTAAAAGGCCTGTGAGTTTAACAGTATCTTTATACAGGGCTAAGACTTGTGTGGTCTGAGTCACAGCGACTTTGATCTCTTTTGATGATGATAAAACACAAAACTGGCCACTGTTGCTAGCTGTGAAACTCATCGATGCTGAATGGTGCCATTTAAAAAGAATTAAATAATGCCTCAGGGTTATTGTGTTTAGCAGCACTAAAATAGCCAGCAGCACATAAAAATAATTATTTTATGTTACTTATAAAGTCAATGTAAACACTCCCTTCTCATTAATTAAGAAGAATCAGATTCTGATACTCCCAAAGAAGTTCTGCACAAACAACACTGGGGAGGTCATTCACAGCACACAGGTGTCACTGTCTCACTGTGACCGTTTTAACCAAACTCCCAAAACACAGGCAAAGATACTACATTTGGGAAGGAGACATTGCTTCCTTTATGCACAGAATCAGTTTTCAAGGAGGAAATCTTAAAGTTGCAAGAGCAGGCCATTCCCATGTGCCAAAAGAGAAGCCAGCAGGGAAGAATAACCATCTGGCTTAACAAACATCTTTTGCAGGAAGTCAGGAAAAAAAAAGAAACCCACACCTGTCCAAGCCACAAGCAGGTAGTTTCTCCAAGAGAATGCTGTGGGAAATAGTGTTCTCCATGACCTTTCAAAGATGATGGAGAGTGGCCCAGCAATAACATCTGCCAGCTCCCTCAGCACTTGTGGGTGCATCCGATCAGGGCCCATGGATGCATTCAGTAGCTCCACCTTCTCTGTGTCTTCCACTACTCACCTCATTCATCAGCGGGCCTGCATTTTCCTTGGTCTTCCTTTTTCTATTGATATACTGAAAAAACCTCTTCTTGTTATCTTCAAACACAGTGGCCAGGTTAAGTTCTGCTTGAGCCTTGGCCCCTCTAATTTTCTAATTTTTCTATTATCTAATGGTAATATGAGCAAAAGTGCATGCTTTGTAAAAGGGGGCTAAGACTTCTGTAAATTACCTTCCAGTCCAAGCTGCTAAAAATTTAGCTTTTCAGTGTAATTGAAATTGAGATTGTCTTCAGTGAGAAGTAGTTAAAGTTTTGCTGCTTGCAGACAATACAAGGAAACAAATATTTTTGTAGGATAAAGGGGTGTAACTCTTACATACAAGCTTTTTCCTAGCCAGTATTAGTGACATTGGTTAGGAAAAAAAATACTTTCTTACTGTATTTTAAGGCTAAGATGGTGTGTTCCAAGTCCTAAGGAAAACATACCAGCACACACAAAAAGTTGTGTAGGCTAACACTATTTGGGCTGTGTGGCCTGATTTTGTCTCTGTTCACAAACTATGTAGACCATACAGAAAAAGGCAGCATTTTATTATTGGCATCCCTCTGAAGAGCAAGATAACAAAACAGTCAGGGCAGGGTTCAGCCAAGAGTCCAGATCATGGTGACAAGGCAGGTCCAAGGGCAAGCTGAGAAAACAAGTCTTATGGGCCAACATACAGATAAATGTAGTCCCTGGCCAGATCGAGGCACAGCTGTGACAGAGCTGGAGACCGGTGCTCCTGTGACATTGCTTGGCCAGGGAATGAAAGCTCAGGCCTGAAATAAAAAATATGTCCTGGTATCCAGCTCGTTTAGTCCCACTGAATGATTCCACAGTGAGAAGAGTGTGTGAGTGATTCAAGAGCGACAGGGGTTTACTTGAGAGAGTCCAATGTAGGTTACAAGGGTGATTAAGAGACTGGAACACCTGCCTTATGAGGAAAGACT